CCTCCCGAAGTTTGGTCCATTCCTCCCGGGACACCCTGTATATGGGCACAACTTAGAACTTTATAATAGTAATCCTTCAGTAGCTGGCTGTATCTTTTACAACAAATTGCCTAACAACATAAAAGAAATAGAAAACAAAAGTCAGTTCACAAGGGAATTGAAGAAGTTACTTACTCAGAGGTGCTATTACTCAACGGAGGACTATTTGAATGATGAATTCTCGAATAATGGCTACTGATATAAGCAGAAGTATACAGTAAATAATGTATAAAATATTGTATATCTTATATAATTTTTTAGTATTAAGATTGTTATAATTTAATAATGTATATTAGCTGAAAGACTTGTCCTGTATCATTATATCATGGTCTACAGGATTAATAAAAGAATGAATGAATGAATGAGAGCTGATAAATCCTGTTAACATCTTATCATCCTATTTATAGACCTGTTTTAATAGCTTTTGATTTGTGTAAGTGTCTTCCAAGTTATCTCTGTCCCTCAAGTTTTCCAACAGAAACTTTGTATGCATTTCTGTTCTATCCCGTGTGTATTACATGATTCACTGNTTATTTTGATCATTTGATCATCCTAATAATATTTAATAAGGAGTAAAAATTCTGAAGCTCATCTGGTGAAGAAAGTCTGTGCTTCCTGTAGACCTGGGAGATTCATTACTTTGTTTACAAAGTCCAACTTCAAATGTTCTATGTTGTTAGTTCCCTACCTAATCTATAGCTGGTGGAGGACCACCCTCTGTTGGCTGCCTAGCAGCTGCTTATCCAATATATTGTCACGTATTTGGGTAACTGAGACACAGGTTTGGATTGGTGAATCGGTTTATTGGATGTTCAGTAGTTGTAACTACAAATAATTTCAACACATTCAGCATTACTGTAATTATAACACACACATCAGGTCTTCTGTTCACTTCTCTTGTAAGCACTCTACACTAGTCTCTCAATTGCCTTGAGCTCTCCTGGACTCTCCACCATGGCTATTCCTCTGCCGTGTCTTCACTACACACCTCATGTTAAAGAATCTTAGCAATGGAGATTGTTCCGCTTCCATTGCCTACTGGTTAACACACTACGGGCAAACCCCCAACTGACTCCTGTAAAGTTAAACTTAAAGTCACATTGCGACTTACAGTCAGTCAGTAAGTCTTGGTGTCAAGCCCCATCTGGGGCTCATGACCCAATATTTATTAGTGTTTGACTGTTACGGTCTTGTTTTTCTGGGACGCCCTCTCTGACAAGAGGACAGGTCTGCCTTTTGTATATGCTGCAGGCCTTTGCCAGCACAGTCTTTCTTAGGTCCAAGTTCCTAGGGACTTGCAGCCATATTTTACTGTCTCAAATGTGAGACTTGCCTTTTTGTTGCCTCCTACAACTCGCAGGGTAATGGTGGAGCTATTCGACCCCACCTACGCATGGGGGCCTCTGACTCCTGTGGAGTGAGAGTCGGACTCAGAGTTACCTTACGACTGGCGGTTTACTGCCAACCAGTTCAGCTTGGCATCAGGCCCCTTGAGGCCCACGACCAGAGATTTTTTTTCCAACTGAACTCCTGCAGTAATAGTCCTTATGTAACATCCTCTCTCATGAGAAGATTGGTCTGTCTCTTATGAATACACTCGACCTTTCGTCAAGTGTATATTTCGCACATATAATATATTATCGAAAACTCTTCCTTTTGCTTTACACACAAGTCCTCTCTCAGTACAGGCTTTACAGAGTAGATCATTCCTAACTTACAGATCTTATGCTACAATGAAACTTAGTCATTTGAACAATCATAAGCTTGACCACTACCAAGTTTAAGCCTCTTATATTTTCTGTGTCTGGCTTCACCTTGTCTGACTCCTGTAGTGTCAGTTGTCTTCAGGAAAGCTCCTCGGAACAGGTCCTGCAGAAAACCCAGCCTCTGTTGTTGTAGAAACTTATTTATTTCATCGTTGCATAGCAAGAGTTGTGGCGCGGACTGCATAGAAAATAGTCTCCCTAATGTTGAGGTTGTTTACTGAGCCATTTCTTGGCAACACTTTGATCAAATACATTACAGTATTTACAGCCATCTGAAACCTGGATGTGTAACTAACATGGAAGGTGGATGAAAGATGGAACTATTCACACACTAGAGAGAAAAGACTTTTAGCATAGGTAAAAAGGAGTATAAGGGAAAAAGTAACACTATCCATGTAACAGGCCGTGGAGGCCTATAGGGTTCTGAGACATCAAGGCTCCCACATTTTCTAGACAGTCAGCTCACAGATGGTGGTGAGGTTATCAGCATTATGTGCTAGCCACCCTTTACCCCCCAAGAAGATTCCTGGTACTCATTTCTGTTAGAGACTGAGTCGACCCCAGAACCATAGTGCATCTGCAGAAAACCCAGCCTCTGTTGTTGTAGAAACTTATTTATTTCATCGTTGCATAGCAAGAGTCGTGGCGCGGACTGCATAGAAAATAGTCTCCCTAATGTTGAGGTTGTTTACTGAGCCGTTTCTTGGCAACACTTTGATCAAATACATTACAGTATTTACAGCCATCTGAAACCTGGATGTGTAACTAACATGGAAGGTGGATGAAAGATGGAACTATTCACACACTAGAGAGAAAAGACTTTTAGCATAGGTAAAAAGGAGTATAAGGGAAAAAGTAACACTATCCATGTAACAGGCCGTGGAGGCCTATAGGGTTCTGAGACATCAAGGCTCCCACATTTTCTAGACAGTCAGCTCACAGATGGTGGTGAGGTTATCAGCATTATGTGCCAGCCGCCCTTAACCCCCCAAGAAGATTCCTGGTACTCATTTCTGTTAGAGACTGAGTCGACCCCAGAACCATAGTGCAGCTGAAAGGATTAGGTCGATTGTAAAATCCAGTGACCTCATTAGGAACTGAACCCATGACCTTCTGGCTTGTAGTATAGTGCCTAGTATAGTGCTGTTCTACCACATGTGGCCTGTTACAGGGATGAAAGAAGGAGTGCTGTAAATAAAAGGTTGCATTTAAATATTAGTTGCATGTAAATAATGCTTGATGTAAAGAAGTCTTCTCGAGCTATCAGCCATGTCAGTTGCCTCTGCATACTGTATTTATACTACAATATATACTCTCAGCTGTCCCAGCTCATACCCCTGACGGAATAGTGTATGGATTCGACAGACAGTGGTGTCCTTTTTGGCACATACTGGGACGGCTTAGAGCATACTTCATGGTACAACTACAATGCGTGGAGATGGCACTCGTCACATCGACCCCTGATGCTGGAGACAGAGGGAGTCTCTGAAATATTCGACAGCAACTCCACATTAACATGGTTGCTTGCCCAAAAAGACTTTGACTTCATCGCTTGCAGTTACTGTGAAGGCTTCAAATCATGTATAATGTTTTATGTGTTGTGCATTTACAGGATAACTGCAGATGATGGTGTCTTCTGAACTAGAGCAAGTGTTTCCCCATCATTATTTGCTGTTAGAGTTGACCACTCACTGCTGTTCCTTTTGTGTTTATCTGCGGTCAAAGTGGATCGAAAGACAAGACTACGGTCAGTGTAATATGTTACTATATAGGCACACCTACAGTGCCATTTACCAGCACCGCCTGATTTAGATGGAGGAGTATTTTATTGGCTCTGATATACTAATTATCTCAGTCATTGTAGTGAATAGGCAATGGGTTGAATAACCAGAAAATCATGGTCTAATTTCTGGTGGGGTTGTAGATTTTATTTTTCCTATTGCATCCAGACTGGCTCTGAGGCTCACCCGTTCCCCTGTTCAGTGGGTGCGGGAGGCCAGGTGTAAAGTGGATGGTGGTATGATCCTCACCACCAACCTCCATTTAGTGCTGATGATAATGAAAACTGGAGCTGTGCTTCCACAAGAAGACCAAAGCTCACAGTGGGCTGTAATGCGAGTTGTTTTGTAATGGACGAATATGTTACTGATCATATTAAACTGAACAGAACCACTAGTTACCAGTGCAGACATCATGCTGATGCATACAGCAATAAATAACGTGTTGCCCTCACTTTTGGGAGGCATTCAGCATGAATCCCAAGGACTGGCCATCAGCTTCCAGGATGATCCCAGGACAGTAATTTAAAATAGATTATTTCACGTTTCTAAGATAGATTTGAGGTTCTCACAATGGTGGTTGTAAAGAGTTCCATGTTCTCGGATATAATCCCATGTCAAAAAGGTAAAGCTGTCCCTGTAACAAGCTGTGGAGGCCCATGGTGTTGTGATACATCAAGGCTCCCACATTTTCTAGACGGCTCACAGATGGCGGTGAGGTTGTCAGCCTTACACGCCGTCTGCTTTTTACCACCCAGGAAGATTCCTCGTACTTATTTCTGATAGAGGCTGAGTCAACCACAGGGCCATAATGCTGCTGGAAAGATTAGGTCAATTGAAAGATCCAGTGACTTCATCAGGAATAAAACTCGCAACCTTCTGGCTTGTAGCATAGTACCTCAGTCTTGGAAAAGTCAACCAAAGTCAAAGTCAAAGTGTGCCTACTTGCACACTAGTTTCTTGCTTGGATTATTCATCAACCCTGAAGGTGGAGGCGACATGTTCCGCCAAAACGTTGGCTGACTTTCAGCAGACTACATTGAGTTATATCCCAAAAACAGAACTTTTCCTCCACATTTCTTTTCATCCCTTTATTGCAGTAACCACTTGATTAATATGAATATTATGTTGGATATTGACATTTGTCATAGATGCCCTCTCTTGGCATAAAGCACCTATCTGGGGCTTGCAACCAGATCTTTATTATTGTTTGACAGTTACGGTCTTGTTTTTTGTGGGTGCCCCCTCTGACGAGAGGACAGGTCGGTCTTTTGTATATGCTGCTGGTCCTTGCCGGCACAGTCTTTCTCAGGTCCGAGGCCCTTGGTACTTGAGACCATATATTACTCTCTCAGATTTGAGACTTAGCTTTTCGTCGCTTCCTATGACTCATAGGGTCATGGTGGAGGTATTCAAACCCGCCTCCACACGGGCCACTGTCTGGTGACTGATCCAGCTTCTGAAATAATGTGTATTTTATATATGACTAAGATGATGACAGTGTTCAATGTAATATTTGTATAACGATCATACACCTGCATGCAGTAGTGTAGTTGGTTGAGGCACAATGCTAGATGCCAGAAATTCATGGGTTCAGTTTCCGATTAACTCATTGGATTTTTTAAATTTACCTAATCCTTCCAGCTATGCTCTGGCCCTCGGTGTCAACTCAGCGTCTAACAGTAATGAGTACCAGAAATCTTTCTGGGGGGTGAAGGGCAGCTGGTGCATAAGGCTGACAACCTTACCACCATCTGTGAACCAATTTTCTAGAAAATAATGTTGGGGCCTCAATGTCTCACAACCCTATGGACTTTCATGGTCTGTTACAGGGACACCTTTGCCCTCCCCCCCCACACCACTGCTACAAATGAATACGGGGTCAGTTACATGAGTATCTCTTGTTTTAACTTTATTGTGAAAGAGTTACACTGTTCACCAGGATCCTTGATTTCATCCATGATATAATCTGGTAATTAAGTTCAAGGATCATTAACCCCTTGAGCGTGACTTTTAGCGGAGCCATTTAAATCCCTAAGCGTGTGTGGCACAACATCTGCATCCGCTCAAACCCATGCTCTAAGCGTGTGCGTCCCATATGTTCACTAAGAATTCTTAATGCCTATGCTCTGATGTATGTACTTCCAGTGAATGTATATGTGAGCTAATACTGACTTCTTTCATTCCTCGCTATCTGTTTGTGTGTGTTATTTTTTTTACTCGCTTTGCTTGATACAAAGCATATGGTATCTGCTGAATTGTTCCCACTCACATTCCGACTTGCTTTCAGAGAGATAATTTGTTAGCTAACTTTCATTGAATGCTTGTTATCTGTGTTTGTGTGTCGGTATTTTTTTTATTTTTAACTGGTATGGCTTACTGGCAACAAAGCAGCTGTGCCTGATTTACGATGTTACAAACCTAGTGGTCGAAGTTGCCTGACGCCTGTGTCAATATTTATCAATTATCAGTTATCTTTTTCTGCCATGCGACACTCTCTTAGCAGAGCCCCATGGCATCTCGGTCACTTAACTTGTCTGGCAGAACAGTTTCTTGCCCCTGACACAAATAAAATCACATTTCAAAAGTGGGTTCCCACAACTTCGAATGAAATTAGGGTATTCCTAGGTTTTCTTATGCTGATGGGAATTCAGAAACCAAACCTCAGAATGTATTTTAGTAGAAACATATGTTAGAAACACTATTTTTTCCCAATGTAATGAGTGAAGAAAGGTTTTCATTGCTGACCAGATTTCTCCATTTTGTAGATAACACCAATAAGGAAATTGCAAAAAGAGATCCTAAATTGTACAAAATTCTTCCGGTTAGTGAATATTTGAAAAAGAAGTCCCAGAAAGTGTACNGGCACAATGTCTCAGTGCTGACTACTAAACATTCAGACGAAATGCAACCCGTAAGTCGAAAGGGTGGGTTAGAATTTGTAAATAAACCTATGTGTGTAATAGAGTATAATAAATATATGGGAGGTGTAGACTTGAAAGATCAGCTACTAGAAACATTCTTGCTAGAAAGAAAAGGCAAAAAGCGTGGTACAAGAAATTATTCAACCACTTAGTAAATACGGCAGTGTTGAATGCTTACATTCTGTACTGCAAGGCTGGTAACAAGAAAGATCATCTGTTATTCAGAATAAACTTAGTGCATAAGATCATAGCAAAGTCCCATGGAAAGAATTTAGAAAAGCGCAAAGGGCGTCCTTCAGATACTGACATGGAATATACGAGATAGACGGGACAGCATTTCATTCAAGAAAATCCGAAAACCGAAACTTATAAAGTTGGAAGAAGAAGGTGTGTGGTGTGTACAAAAAACATAAAGAGAAAACAAACCAGATACAGGTGTAAAAACTGCCCAGGGACACTGTCTCTCTGCCTAGACCCCTGTTTTGAGCAATACCATACCAAAGTCAACTACTAGACACTGGATATTGAGAGCTGGGAAAAAGAAATAGCTTGACTAACTGTAAGTACACATTCATAATAATGAACTGTAAACAATTGTAAATATAATATAATTTTTTTAGAAATTTTCAAATAGTGATTTCGTTATTTAAAAATATTTAGGTAAATGTCTGCACAAAACCTTCAATGCTTGCGAAAATAAAGCACCAGGAGGGATTTAAATACTCCCGCTTAAATTCACGCTAGATGGATGTAACTGAGCGGATGCATGTGGTGTGTCGCACACGCTTGAGGGGTTAATAAAAAAAGCTATGTTCATTATTGATGATTATATGTTTTATGTTATGCTGATTATTATGGGTGATGTGTTAGGTTAGTATTGGGTCTAGTAAGTGTAAATAAACTATACGTCCTTCCATAAATTTAACATTGAATGATGTGTTAAGATTACTATTTTCTGTGATGTGATACCATGTGATGTATTAGATATTTACCAACATTTTGTAAGAACCTGTTGCCTCCATCTTGTTCCCTGAGGATGGAGGTGTACCAGACTACATGACATGACATTCAGAAGACTGTAAGCTTTGTAGTCACCGCTGTTACAACCTAAAAATTCATGAGTTATTATGTGCAAAATAGGCTCAAATACAGCTTAAAATATTATGAAGTTGTTTCTTGTTCATACTCGGGGTTCTCACAGTGACAAATGTTGACTCCTTGAAGCCTACTTTTCTTAGCACAGAGCTGAGCCAAGGTGGATGCCATGATTATCAGAGCTTGTAAACAGTTGTTATAGGGATATCAAAATTCTCATTATTTTACGGTAAACATGAATTTTGTTCACAGTTTCTGAAATCACTCAGGCTTTACTTTGTTTCACCATTACAATAAGAAATATGGATACACCATCCATTTGTCGTTTTTGACATGTTTTGGCTCATTGAGCAATCATCATCTTTCACACACTCAATGTGACACTAAAATATAATATATCTACCCAGGATTTACATGGTGCTGCCATCTTTGCACATTATTGTTAACTTTTAGAGAGATTGATTGTCAATATGTTGTAGCATGTGAATTAGTGGGGTTAAGGTGAATGCAAAGATAATGTATCTTGGTTTTCAGCTATATATTTTATACTGTGTCTGATGATGTGTGAAGTCAGTAATGGAAGTACTTATTGATTGATTGATTGATTTGATTGGGTTGATTGATTAAATGGTACCAGCAGACGTTCATTATCTTACATGGAGATTTAGACTTGTTGGATTGAAAGCTCTCGAAGCAGTGACTTTGATGAATTCACTGTCTTTATAACACTGTGTAGTTCAGTACAAGTCCACAGATGTTTTCGAAGAACATATAGCCTTCATCCTCAAGGGCAAGGAGTAAACTGAACAAGAAATCAGCAAGAGGCAGGCACCAAGCAGAGCAGACTGTCCATAGGAAATCATGCCTAACACAGACCAAACAGAAGCTGTGAGAAAACCTTACAAACAACGGTCATGTGACCATTAGTTCTCTTGTAGTTCATTTCTGTC